AGGCTGCAGCGCTCGCGCCTTCTCTGTTGACACGCCTGCCGGCGCTCACATCGTGCGTCAAGCTGCTCGTCTGCTTGCTCTAAACGTCATCCCCGACACTCGCCTTGACTCCGAGGGGCTGCATAGAGTTGACATCGAGGCGTCTAGCCACCCTGTGTGGACTAGATGGTGTGCCAGTCTTACTGGTGGTCAAAAACTTCTCCTCAACATGTTCCGTTCTGGCGCCATCTGGACTCCCACTCGCAGGCATGCCTTTCGTAACTCCTTGTTCACGGCCTGCCCGCATTGCACTGAGACCCGGTGCTCTGCGCGCCACTTGTTCGCCGATTGTGTTTTCTTTTCCGATCTGCGCATGTCGCTGCAACGGAAATGGGGTGTTTCCCAAAACTTCTGGCGCGATCAGCCTCGTGTCACTGCAAAAAGTGGGTGGGTAACACTCGATGCCTCTCCTGACCCTGCACAGCGCGCAACGATGCAAGTCGCTGCCTGCGCCTTGGGGCTGCACATGACGGCCCTTTTTGGTGAAGGCCTTTCGCCTGCGTAGGCTCTGTTGCAGGTGCAGGTCCGTGGCCTGCCTCGGCTGCCTCTCCTCCCTTAAGCCCGTTGGGTTTAGGCTCGCCTCCTCCCTTGGCCCTTTTGGGTTTAGTCCCCCCTCGCTTTCTTGATGACTTGATGTCTTCTTTACCCATGACCTCAAGTGGCTTCAAACCACTGAGCCGATAGCCCCGGCTTGCAGTTCTTCTTTTCACCCTACCCCGTGGCCCTAAACCCGTTGTTAGGTTGGGTCACCTCCATAATAATAATAATAATAATAATAATATCGGTCATGAGCCATAAGCAGCTTACTTAGCTGATCATCCTGCGAATTTCCGGCTGAAGGGAGGGAGGCTTGTTCGGCCTCTCGGCCGTTGAGTCGCAGGCTTAACTCGATGTATCTCGTGCACAGCTGCGTCCTTCAAGTGCTGCTTGGGAATCAGAATCATGTCTCCGGCATACCTGTCGCGGGCTTGTGCAGGATCGCTGGCAGTATGGATGCAGTACCACGAGCCTGAGATGTCGTCGCAGCTTTGTGACCAATGGGATTCCTGCAAAACCACTCTTTGTGTGTCCAGCCTTGTCATCAGTTCTTGATATACTGCCGACGACAACCCTCCTGCATTAGTCAAGCAACGCATGAAAGGGATCGGCGCCTGATGCTTCCTGCGCAACGACCGAACGGATCTGGGCTGAAGAGGCCTAGGCTTAGGGGTGTACCAAGGCTTTGAGCTCGGCAGCTGAGTGCCTGCGGCCACAATAATGAGTGCCGCCCGAGTGCGCTGCCCTGAGTCTGGCTCTGCGATCCGCTTCTCAGATGGCTTTGGCATAAGGATGTGACTGGGCGGCGCGTCCGGCAGCGGTCCACGATGCTTCCCCGACCACCCCTCCTACCTGACGCGAGCGCTAGAAGACACGCGGTTTTCAAGTACGTGCCGGACTTGGGGGATGCTGCGGACTCCATACCAGTATTGAGTGGAGAGCCGGCGCCGAACGGCTCCCACACCTCCCCCTTGCTCACGGTTGGTGAGCAGCTCAACCCTGGACAGCTGCTGCCGATCTTTGGATGGTCCAGTTCGGTCCAGAGAGCCAGAGAGTATAAGAGTTGTGTCGTTCCAGGTGGAGTTGGCATCCTCAAAGTCCTGGTCAGCGGCGTTGCTTCCAGCTTCTGCACCGTCCTCACCCTCACCGCTATCAGTGCCCCCAGTAGGATCGGCAGAACCTGCCACTCGGTCCGTGTACTCTTTCATTCCCCCAGACCGGCCACCTTCATTCCGGTTGGGAGTCCGTGTCTGAGGAGGCCAGCGCACGGGGGTCACCGTCACTGTCATCTCCGGCATGCACATGTACATGGATGCCCGCTGGGGCATTAACCGGCTGAGGTATTGGAGGCCCGCGAGGAAGCAACTCATGATCACCAATGGGACCGTCACGTTGAAAGTCCCTCGGCGTCCTCTCTGTATCCTGCTCGGCTTCGTCCATTGAGCGTGCAACCCACTCGTCGCTGCTATGGTCTCCATGCTCACTCATGTACTTTCACCGAAAGACGCAAGAAAGAAGGAAGAGAGCCTGACCCCGAACAACCCCGAAGGAAGAACAACAACCCAAGCACCCACAAAAAACACAGCACTGAGGGCGTTCGCCTGCGAGCTGCGGGGCTTCATCATGATCATGATCATCATCATCGTCGCCATCATCACCATCATCATCATCATCATCATCATCGTCATCGCCATCATCGTCATCATGATCATCACCATCATCATCATCAGATCATCATGTGTCGTCGTCGCCGCCTCGCCCCTCCTCCTCCTCCTCCTCCTCCTCCTCCTCCTTGGCGTCTTTGGCCCGCCGGGCAAACGCGAAGTGTCAGAGGCTTGGAAATCTTCGGCTTTGCTGCGCTCTGCGCTGCTCTACGACTCAACGCCGCCACATATGGGGATTGGCACTAGGCTGCTGTGACACTCTGGAGTCCACCTGACAAACCTCGGCCACCGACACCGAGGGTGAATTCCCATGACATGACACAGAAACAAACTACCAGTACAGTGTGCCGGAAATCTTTAACAGTTTTTTGAACAAGCTTGCCGAGCAATCGAAACCGCAGTAACCACCGCAACCGCCCTAACCACGAGCCACGCTTCGGATCTTCCACCAGGCCACACCGACGCGCGAGGCCCAGGCTGGCGCCGGCCGGGAGCGGCCGAGGGAGGGCCAGGTGGTGGCCGTGCCTCTCTTTGGGGGCACCAATGCTGGAGCTGGGCAATGCGGGAAGGGCGACTCTGACCTTGCGAACTTCTGATTCAACGGCAACAATCTCGCACCAACATGGCGTCTGAAGTTGAGTTCACCTCGCATGGGCAGAAGTTCTGAAGCATTCCCCGCACCACCCTAGAGCTATTGCACTCCTTGCCTGCGCGGGCATACACGCGGGTTCCGCTGTTCGCTCCGGCTGTTCGCATTATGCCATTCCCAAACTCTCAGCGCAAGTCATGATGACAGTTTAAGGCAGGTTATACGGAGACATTAGGGTGGATAGTCCCCTCCATCGGAATGCACATCTATAGCGCTGTGTTCTCGCGTCTTGGCGCTCAGGACTCCAAACAAGCCTTGAACTTCTGGCTCGACGAAGTTGCTTCATGCAGCCTGAGGCTGAAGAACAACAGAACATTGCGAACCATACACGCCTGGATTAGCTCCTCACCGACTGAGGTCCCCGCCCACGAGAGGTGGAGTCAACTGACGGCGTTCGGGAGCTCCCTGCAACATTTTCGGGTTTTTCGGGTCTGCCATGCTGCTTCGGTGAACCGACTCGTCCGCAACGGAACCTGTCTTGGCGGTGTGCGTCTCTGAAGCTAGGAGTTGTGCAGCAATTGCGTGGTAAATCACTAGGTCACTAGGGAGCACGGTGCACTACACTCGTGATGAACGTTGACCACAGCCTCTGCACAGGGGGAGCCGTAGGTGACCAACTGGTGTTTCTTTCACAGGGTGGAAGTGTGAGCTGGCCTGGCCTGAGCCTGAGCAGTCGGACCGCCAAAGGTACCTTCGGCTCCTTCGCACATCAAAAAGAAAGCGCCCCCTCTCGACGTAGCCGTCCATGCTAGAGGCATTCCTACGATTGAAGTGCCAATGACCCCGGCTACTCTATCCCAGTTAAAAGCGGCTTCTGAACCCGGACACGAGCTGTCCCGTTGCTGGAGGTGCTGAGCTCCGAATCGCTCGACTCGTCCAGATCCGCGAGCATGCGCCTGGCAAGTCTCAATCGCTAGCCGCTAGCTGCAGTCCTTCCCGCAAAGCCCGACACATGTCCTGACATGCTATAGCCAGGAGCAAGATGTCTGCATTCTTCCTGAGGCGCCCGGAAAAACTGTCATGAGGCTTGCACGAATTCAAGTCTCTAAGACTTGGCCAATCGTGCCATCAACGTACTCCGGACAGTCGCGACAAGCCGAAAGAAGTTGAAGCTAGTTCATTTGCACGTGTCGGAGAACACTCTCAACTGATCTTGATCGAGCCGTCAGTATTGTTCCAAGCAGTGATCATACAAATCTGAATTTGGGACTGCTCTCTGGAATCTTGTCTCTCTTGAAGCAGCTGAAGCCAGCCAGGCTCGGGAAAGCGCGCTTTGTGCGCAAACACCCAGGCCTGCACTCAGCGTGGGCGCTCCCCCTCCACGGTGCATATAGGCTCACTCCACTCAAGGCGGTCGGGCAAGCCCCCGAAAGGACCGCTTCGAACAGCCCATCAAGCCCAGTGGCTGCTGATGACCATGTCATACCAGCAACAGTTCCAGTGTCAGAGCATATCTGCAGCTTCAGTTCCCGCACGCCTTACCGATCCTCGTCCCAACCGCATGGAATCGCCACTGCGCGTTTAATTTGAATGATCAGTTCGTTTGAACGGATTGGAATAGATCAGCGGCCTCCGCATGATCGTCCATTCCAAGTGACGTGTCGTGGCAGATTGAGCTGCACCGAAGACTGCGGTCTTCAGTCACGCTGCTTGTGGCCCGCTCCCTGCTGAGCGAGAGCTGCAGTGGTACATCAGTGAATGCCATGGGACTTTCAGATCTGCCCGCGACCGCGAAAGAGGCTGAGCAGCTTAGTCCCAACTGTTCTCGCAGGTGCGCGGTGGGGAAGTAGGTGGTCTTTACTTGCTGGTACGCCAGCCAATGCACCATTGCGTGCAGGCAAGGACCACCTCCTTCAGAATCACGGAATTGAGATGGGGCAGCTGACAGGACTGCACAGAAGTATATTGATCTTCGACCCATTCGTCAATTGAATTGAAACAGTTCCACGCTCCAAACTCTCAGCATGTCTCAGCGGTTGCTTTCGCAGCCTGCCCTGAAACAAATGTCTGTGCCTGTGTGATGGACCCATTTCTCGAACACTCCTGCCGTTCAACTGGAAGGATCGACCCGGCTCTTGAACATCGCTTGAAGGCAGGCAGCACAGCGAAAACTGTTGCCCAATCGCTCGTTTTGCCTGGCGGGTCTGCATGGTCTGGCACATGTCTCCCTGACATTGCACCATTGGCAGTGGCCCGGCCATACTGTTGCCACTGTTGCGCCTATATGTGCGACATTTGCTTGCACTTCTGGTGCCACTGCCCGGCGGCTTCGACAGCTGCAGAAACACACATGCTTCGCCTGACAAGAACACGATGAAAAAGCGGCCGGGTTAGCGCCTGCCGAAGCCAGAAAGCGGCTCTGAGGCGTTGCGCCGCAGAGCCGGCGCTGCTGGCGACTCCTCTTCCTTTTATTGCTCTTTTTGTTACCACTTGCTTGCCGAATATCTAAGAGATCCTGTGTATGAGAATGTCAGAGGCAAAAACATGGCAAAAGTGTGCCGTCAACCACACTAGTTGCTCATGCCAATCTTTAAACGATATTTACATATAAGAGCATCACTCCAGATGATTCCGCTTGTGATCTTGGCTGTGTGATGAATCACACAAGTACCCATTTCGATACAATGTCGGAATATATTTGGCAGGATGCCATTAATTCGCAAGTTTGCTGCATGGGATATAACGGTCTGCACTGTCGCTTGACAGGCAATCCTAACACCGCCTTATCTCGCACTTACGCCTTACGCAACGACATATTTGTGGAACAAGGTTCATGAAGCGTGCACGGTTGTTTTCCGATGATTTGTCATGCTGCTTCTTCCTGAGCACGACAGAATGGACGAACCCATCTCCTGCACAGCAGGCCTCCAGGGCCACACCGATAACAGCCGCATGGCGACTGGAGCTTCCAAAGCACCTACAGCCCCTCCAAAGCTGCTGAATGTTATCGCCGCCAGGGTCTCGCCTTGTCGGCCCGAAGGTACACGGAAAACACCAGCTTTTAACCCAAATGGTCTCAACAAAGTCAGTTCTCTGTCCGACACTGGGACCGCAATCAACATCGGAACACTTGTTCGTTCGGATGCTCGTTTGCTGCACAAGCCCGTTAAACCTGGCATGCTACTGGCTTGAACATCCATGACTCGTATAAGTCGTATAAGTGTCGTTAACCGTCGAGCTTTTCAAGACCCGCATGGATCAATGAAGTAACCAAATTGCAGGTCGGCAAACGCAAAAGTATGCGGTCAATCTCCTGTCCTTTCTTCTGCCTTGCATGACATGGCAACCAACATCCTGCAATTCATGGATACAAACTGGTGAACTCAGGGTTTAATATGCTCGTTGCAGGGCTCACAGCTTTGGGGCCCGCGACCTTCAGGGTAGGGCTTTAACAAAGGCTTTAACCCAAGCCTTGCGACTTGATGCACTTGCTCCTTGGTTTCAGAGCTGTTTGCTGTAGGGTTTCACCTGATATTTCTGCAGTCCCCTCACCACTGCTACTTCAGCACACTGACGACATGAAGCCTAACCGAAACATGCCGTCTTGCAGGGCCCTGCCTGCGAAATCCTTTTCGGAAGCTCAAGAAGCGCAACAAAGACCTTGAAGACCTGGACCGCCAAAACCCCAACAGGTGCCCCCTGCAAGACCATGGGTCCAGGACGTCCAGGACTTCAAGGCAAGGAGTTGGGGCCCGCGAGAACTAATCAACACTTCCAAAATGCCGTCTCAACTTCAGACTAATTCTAGCTGACATGGCACTCTTTTTGCGGAGCATTCCGGAGCCTTCAGCCATCTTAAGGACTGTATCAGCTTTGAAGGTGGGATTGCCAAAGTCTCTGCTCGTCCATCAGGAATCATCAGAACTTCGTTTCTCTGCTACAGGTCTTGGAGCGCCTTGCTGGAAGCCCCCTAAATCAACACGCATGCAAACCGGAAAGAGTGTGGCCCGCGTCAGCAACCAAGACGTGGAAGTACCTGAGCCACGTTGACCCTCCGTGCATTCCACAGTACGTTGCGACCCGAAGAATTCCTTCCCGTCCATCTTCATGGTGCACCCTCTTACCTTGTAAGACATTTCGGAGCAAATGAGCTCGATTGCAGCTGGCCGTCCGGCGCAGGGCATCCACAGCACGTTGGAGTTTAGGGGGTGTACGGGTTCTCCGTTCCTTCCTTCCTTCCTTCCTTCCTTCCTTCCTTCCTTCCTTCCTTCCTTCCTTCCTTCCTTCCTTCGTTTCTTCGCCCCGTCCTTCCTGCCTTGATTCAGTTGTCTGGGCAGACTACTGGTTTCTTTAGCCAAG